TTATGAAATAATAAAATTATTATTTTAAATTATATAATACATAATCAAATTTATATTCAAATTCAACTTACTGCTTCAATTCCCAAGATATTTCCATGTAGATTGCCATAACGCAAAAGTCGCAATCCGCCTGCATTTGTAGATACACACCCACCTATTAGACAGCTTCCTTTAGCCCCAAGATCCAAGGGCATCATTAAGTCAACTGTAGACAAGTGATTGTCCAAATCTTGTAAAATGCAACCAGCCTCGCATGTCAGTATACCTAACATGATAGTACCCAGCGTTTTTTATTAATATAATAGTATCGCAAAAGAGAAGCGAATAATTGTTCATGATGTTTTTTGACTATTTGAGACTTCAAGATATCTTACTATAATATTATTCGCATCTATTATTCTTTGAAAACTATATTTTCAGAGGACATATCATCATTAAGAAAAGAGAAAAATGTTTAAATTCAATTCTTGTAATTCAAGGAGCGTACTGCAGATTAAATTATATTCAAAGAATATATGAATTAAATTAAATCTTTTTAACTTTATAAATATTTAAATAAAAGATTTAGATGTAGTAACAAAATTTGATATTAGATGTAATCATAAAATAAATGAAGCTTTTTGCTTAACTTTTTTAGTAATTCCTTTTCCAAAGATATTTACATTCGAGTTGATGTCATACTAATTGTATCTACCTGTCAATTCATTCGTGTCCAAAATTTTATTCATGAGCTTCAAAGAAATAACAATTTCATCAAATATTGGGTTCGAGCCACCAACGAGACCAGTGTTTCCGCTTTGCGGGCAAACTGCTAATCGTTGCTCGTTGCAATATTTTAATATTGCGCACACTTCCTCAGTGGATGTCGGTTTCAACACAAGCTTACTTGCACCTACATTTATGTCAACTATTATATATGAATTAAAAATGTAAAAAAAAATTTCACTCTGAAAATTAAAATATATTTCTTCTATTTGAACTATTATAAAAAAATATAACCACACTTTCTAATCTTCATTTTTACATAAATTGAAAGAAGATATTTTAAACATACTAAAAATAGCATACTATAGAAAATTTATTTTAAAAAGAAGTAAATATGAATTCCTTAAATTGAAATTTGAAATTATATTTTTTGATTCTTTATAAATTCTTATTTTATTGCCTATTAAAAAAGATTATGTAACCTTATTCATTTAACAATAAAGTTCATATGTATATATGTTTACTGAACACGTATACAAAATTTTAATGTTAAATATGTAAATAGAATATGTGAATTCTCAGATTATCCTAATAAAATCATAAAATATATACATTTCAACTTTATTTATAGTATGTTGTAATTATCATATTTCCATCACAACAAAAATTCCATTAAGACAAAAAATTTTTTTCTGCTAATATTTCCTAAAAATTTTTGTAATTAAAGATGTTTTTTTATTATTTACCCTTTTGTGCTTACCCCTTACAGTTTTCGCAAAGTCGATATTGTAATGTTCGCATTCATCCGGATCTGTGATGAGGTGACTGGAGCCAAGCAACGATTCGAAAAAGCGAACATCTGCATCCGTGACTGTAGCATAGGGCCCGCGTTGAATTTTGTACCTGATCGAAGTTAATTCAGGTTTCGCGGCGCCGGTCGAATAGTAGCGACCAGTGATTTTCCTGGAACATCTTGTGATGGCCTTATTACATTGAAGCAGAATGCCCATCAGTGCGTTTTGCATCTTGTTTTCTACGATAAATTAATCCTGAAAAAGAACAAAAAATATATTAATATTTATATAAATATTTATAATTTCATAATTATAATTTTTAGCTTTTATTCTTTTCATATAAAATCCATAAAAATAATGTATTACAATACAAAGAAAACAAAGATATCATTTTATCAAAAAGATATTCCTCACTTCACACAATTGATCGGTAAAAGAAAAGAAAAGAAAAAAAAATTTGGAAAAGTTTGCTACTTAAAGACCAGTGTAAATCATTATGTATTTTGATCATTGTACTTAAGTAATGCCATAAATCAGATTCATAATTTTAAAATGTTGTTTTTGTCATAAACAAAAATCTGTCAAAGAAAAATACATTTGTAAATAAACAGAATAGTGACAATTAAGTCACATGGCAATAATTCGAATTGAAATACACTTTTTTAAATAAATTTTGAAATACATAAAAATTGCAAATTATAGTTGCTTATTGCACGTAAATCCCTAAGTAACATTTGTATTTCAATATATTCCAGATAGCCAAATAAGGGCAACATGTTACCATTTTGCTATTACTTATTCCGTATTCAATTTCATCAAACTAAAGCCAAGATGTTTCCACAAACTGTCTGTTGTTCTGATATCGCGTAAAATCTTCCTTAGAATTCAATAAATTGCTGGCAAGTTGTCATCATGCATGCATGGCGTGCCGTCAGTTTGCTGTCAACGTGACGAGTTTATTATTTCTCAATGTATACTCTTACAATTTCGTAAATTCATGAAATCTATTTGCCCTCCTGATGCTAACTCAGTTCACATTAGATTCCAATGACAGCAAATTGTCGACAAATTGAAAACAATGCATGCAGTGCATCAATTTGTTCCATATGCTAAATCTCGCTTGGCTATCTAGGATGTTTATGTTGTAATATGAATTATAAATTTTCAATCTGTGATATGTCAAAATACGGCCAATTCCAAATTGTATATACTGAAATTCATAAAAAAAATTAATATTTTTTCCGATAAATTTCGATCTTTTATGCAATATTAGACGCTTCTAAAAAATTAATGCCCATATTTTTTAAATCACTTTTCATATGTATTATATTGTTTCTATGCATATTCTCATATAGAATACGTTCCGCATGAAATACAGATACTGACAGTGCTGAAAATATATATATAATTCATCTGTCGCACCTTATAAATTGTCAGCTATTTCGGAATACACTTATATATTAGCATAATTTCGTGATTTCAGCATAACTTGTCGACACAATAAATCATAATTTGCTATTGAAACTACCGCCATCTTCAGGTCATTTGTCAACTTCAACGAATCTCTGTTCGTATATATTATCGACACGGTAGTTTCGTATATATTATAAGAATGACGCAAGCCTTCATGATTGAATAAGAAAATATTTAAAAAAACCATTTACATTACAATCAACTTATTTTTTATAATTAAATTTTGTATTTTTCATCTATTTTGTTTTTCTTTTAATTATAAGTACATACCTTTCATCTTAAGAATAAAAAAAGTGTAGAAATATATAAATATAACTGCAATGAGATCTAAAAAGATGAGAGTTCAGAGTCTTGCATAACGCACAACGTATAATGAAGGAAATGAATCAAATCCTTCATTTCCTTCATTTTTTTTTTCATGAAATAAAAAACTAATTGGTTGATTTTCTTATGCCTTATGCATTATGCGTTATGCAATGATTTATACTTTAACTTTAAGTTCTTATCAGACTAGCTTGCCAATTCCTAATTAACGATCCTATTTTAGCTAATCACAATGTAGCAAGGACCTGCATCATGTTTGATTGAAACAGAATTAGGCAACTATGAATTGTAAATGGTATCTCTGACAAGCTAATATGATCTTACGGATCGTGATACTAATTTAGCTAAATATTTATTTCCGCCATATTTGATCTAACACGAATCAATAAACAATCGATTAACAATTATTGAATAAAATTAAAATATATATCACGTATAATACATCATAATTAAAAATAATTTATAGTAATTCTACCACATTGAATTACTATTTTATTAAATGTTTTAATAGACAGATATCAGTTACAATTCATATCTTCAAAAAATGCATACTGCTAAAATATAATATTAGTTGGCATCTATAATTATAAGTACATACAAAATTATCTCTATTTTATATGCGAATCTTGTGAGTAAACACAATATTTTCGTATCTAGTGATATATGTAATGTAATATTGAACATATTTAAAACTTTTTTCGAATAGCTTCAATTTTGAAAATGATCTCATCGCTTCGTGAAAGGTCAGGATAATTTAAGAAGATACACAAAAAACGTTTACCTAATGTATACTTTATGATCCAATGATTTATGGAGATAAACGCTGATAGGGATACCTAATGTTACACAAAGATAGATATTATGAGTGCGTTCCAAGTTAGGCATGAAACGAATCGTTCTATCCTTCTTTATTATTTGGTGACATAACAACAAAGACAAATGATGCATCACGCTTTATGTGTAACTCGGAACATACCCTATTTCAAATTTTTCTTTTCAGTTTTCCACAAATTCCATGTATCTTCCATATCTACAAAAAAATCTTTTAATTTTTATCTTTCCGTATTTATAACTTTAGCTTATCTCTTCGAGCTAATCTATCTTATGCCAATCAGCTAAGCTTATACTTTTTCTAGTAAACATCCCAAAATATAAAATATTAAAATTTTTTTCAATTCTTCATTTTAAACCGTTTCATGATTACCATCCGATAACCCATTGCATATGGTACAATATATGAATGTGTACGAAAGCGGATTACAAAACGATGTCTGTTGCAACACAATGTCAGAAGGTTAACACCGCTATCCATCTCAGCGTTTAAGCCCTAGACACAATGTTGAGGCAACAACGACAAGAACAGCAATAGGAATAGCATAGAAATAAGCGATATATAAGGCCTCTTTTTGGCTGAACTTTTGCACCATTTCATCTTTTTTTTCTTTTTCTCTCCAGCAGAAAAAAAGAGGAAGAAAAAGAAAATCAACTGATGCAAAAGTTCAGCCAAAGAAAACAGACCTATAATTGTCGTCTCCCGTTGCATAATGTCGCGAAAGAAATAAAAATGCCAACCAATCTGATTTCAATTTTTATATAAACGTAATATATTCTTCCATCTGCTTCAAGATTACAGTATAAATAAACAAAGAATGAGAAATCTAAACGCTGATGATGAAAGCTATAAGACGATAGACACAGAATTTTAACTCGTCGGAAATTTATCGCTATTGCCTTATTCTAGGTTTCTATGTACATGGACATATGCATTTCCAACATATGCATTTATATTGGATTTCTCTATTCCTATCGCTATCGCTAATGCTATCGCTATTTTTATCAATATCGCTGTTGCCTCGCATTGTGTTTAGGACTTTAAGGCAGCTATCCGTCTCAGCGTTTACAATGATTAAGGCGTGGCTATCTTAGCGTGCCTATTTATAGCCGGACATACGGTGCGCCTTTCACGCGTGCGATCGTGCAGAAAGTGCAATTTGTCGCATTCGTAATTGATACAAAACCGCGCATATGTCCCGCGATCTACATAATGGCGCGTAAAAAGACTGACGTCGATTTTAATAAAAATCTAGGCTATAGTTCTCATTTAATGCTACAAATACTTCGAAACCTTCTTTGATTGGTCAATCAGTATATGAAATTCTTTCTTTCGATTGTCAATCCAATGTTGTAACGTCAGAAGTGGACATCCAAATTATCGTTTGGAAAATCACGTGGCCCAATCAGATTCCTTCGCTAGACACTCGTCTCTCTCACATATTTTCTACGTTATCGCGAAATCGCAAACTTCCAGTTACATGGAATCTTTCTGATCTTGGGAAGAGTCCATAACGTTTCTTGGAATTTTAGAATTCTTTCCTTTTCTAAACACCGACGTTTATCTGCAATGTTTTTTATTGATTTTAAAATTCTGAGAATATAAAATCACTTGAAGTTAAGTGACAACGATAAATATGAAATTAAAGCAATCTTACGAATGTGTTAATCGATTTTATTTTTCGTATTGGCGTCAAAATGCGATTCTGTTGCATTTCTTTCAGAAAGGAATTGCGAAAATATTTGAATAAAAAACTTTTTTCTTCTCAATGCAGATAATAAAAAAAATTCAACAATATAATTTTTAGAAATGTACTGGATATCGATCCAGTATTATCCGGCACTTTTTTATTATTCAACTGGATAGTCGGATATCATTAGTCGGATATCCGGAAATATATCCGGTTGAAATTTGATTTTATTAAATTGTTAAATTTTTCTTATTCAAATGTTTTAGAAACAAGTATATAATATCATATTCATGATATAATATCTTATACATTATTGCAAAATTACAATCTTTTTCTCTATAGGCTTTTTTTTTTAAAGCTACTCAGAATCGGATATCCGAAAAATGTCAGAAAAAATTACCTTCTCGGATATTCGATTGAATATCGGATAACCGATGTTACATTTTGTTCGGATATCCGATATCTGATAATTTTACAATCTGATGCATCCCTAATAATTTTTTTTTCTTCATATTTATATATCGTTATTTTTATTATTCTAACATTTTTATCATTATTATAATATTAAAATTTTTGACATAAATTTTTTGACATAAATTTACTATTATAACTCACATTGAAACTAAAAATGAAATTAAAAAATAGATGAAATTAAAAAATAAATGAAAACCATCTTTCCTGGAATCTCGATAAAATTGCTCAAATACATGCCTCTACAGATTCATCAATGAGTTTTAAAACATGCAAGCAGGCAACTTAACTTACAACCTAATATCTTAATTCTTAATCTTTCGATGATAAAACAATAATCGTATCATGTTCCTTCTTCGCCTCGTAACACTATTTTTATCATAACTTATGCGATTATACGAATCGCGATTGCGGTTCGCGATTGCGAAATTTAGCCTTTTATTTACGACAATTTTATACGAGGTC